GACTCTCTCTGAGGGGACCGATGTTGCAACAAATTGCAATGTCTTCCTACCTTAACCAACGCGCTTGCGTTTAAATCGAGCTCTCCTGTCCCTCTCTGTCGCTCTGTGTACTTGGCCTGTACCACTACACTAGGGCTGGACGATATGGCCAAAATTGATATCACGATATATTTCTTAATTTCGGTCATAAATAAATAATAAATAAATGCTGAGCTTTGGATCTTTGGATCTTTTGGATCTTTGGATCTTTCTATTCATCAAAGAATCCTGAAAAAAATGTACTCAACTGTTTTAAATATTGATAATCAGCAAATCAGCATATTAGAATGATTTCTGAAGGATCATGCGACACATGATCTGGAGTAAGACTGGAGTAATGGCTGCTGAAAATTTAGCTATGTATGATCACAGGAATAAATTACATTTTAAAATCTATTCAAATAGAAAGCAATTTTAAATAGGAAAAATATTTCAACATTTTACTGTTTTTACTGTTTTTGCTGGTCTTTGGATCAAATAAATGCAGCCTTGGTGAGCAGAAGAGAATTCTTAAAAAAAAAAAAAAAAAATTAAGTAAAATGTTGAAATGTTGCTGGAGACGGGCTTACTGAAAATGCAAACTCATTCTCTGCCAGCAGGAGGCGCTTTTAGAGTGCTAGAACTAGCGCTTTCTCCAGTAATGGCTGTAATCAAAGCAGCTCCGCTCATGAATGCTACTTTATCAGATCAAATGAAAATGCCAACTCTGAAGACAGTCGGTTTCCTTCAGAGATGCATTCATATAAAACACCCGCGCCGTGTTATGATTTTGAAACGTGCAGTGCTCATGTTTATTCAACGAAATCAAACACCATAAATAAATAAATGTATGGGAAACTGGTAATGTATATCGAAATATCGGAAATGTGTTTAAAAATCATATCACTGTTATTGAAAAAAATTATATCATGATACATATTGATATTGAATTATTGTCCAGCCCTACACTACACTCGCTATCTTCGGAGCGTGTGTCCCCCTTCTTTCTTTCACATAATGGTATGATCCTAGTCTGTCCTCCCATGTATATTTTTATTTTGTAACGAAAAAATGCATAAAAATAAGGCTTTTATGAAAACACTAAATAAAAAAAATTGCTTCCCAACACACAAACCATTCACAATTGCTAAATTGGTGTAAAATAGACACATCACGACACATCACTAAACCTCTCACGGCAGGCGCGTCATCAGCTTGAGATCGTTTTTTTGAGATCAGCCTTTTTAGAGACTGCCGATCAATCATCCCAATGTGATTATCGGCCGATAGTGATCGGTAGCCGATCAATTGGAGCACCCCTACCCACAGTAATGCAAAGTTGCAAAAAGACCACATATTTTCACACTTGTATAGAGTATGTTTATGGCCTAAGTCACCATTTCTTTACTAAAGGCAACAGAGTTCAAAGACAATCATGTTCTTCTAGAGTGATCTCTATCCAGAAGTGCCCCAGTACTATGACATCATGTTCTGGCTCGGAATATTTGGAGCGAATGTTGTGCTGGAAAAGTCGAGCCTTCGCAAAACACTCTGGTGTGAGTCAGTGAGTTATGATGACGGACTCCACCTCACACCCAGATCCCATCAGGGTCCAGGTCTTGAATCAATCACACAGTGTTCCAGGAGTATGCAATGACTCCATCTACAGCACGGACATCCACTTCCTGTGACGGGACAACCTTTCTCCACTTGGCATTATCTGACATCTGAAAGGTCTGTTTGGTTGGAATGGACAGTTACCTGACAGTGACACAACTATGAACCAAACTGTTTTGAATCATGGCATGGAAAAGACATGGATATTGTGTCCTGCACTGAACATTTACATCACTTGCTAATACTCCAAATGAAGTCATGTCCCTGAATTGTTTTTGACAAGTTCACACCCATATGCTCTCACAGTCTCCCAGCACAAAGTTAAGCAAGTTCTCTATGAGGTAATGAAGGATTGCTCTCCTAAATGCACAGAACACTATCAAGTACAAAGAACAAAACAAATATACAAGCTTTTTCGGGAGGAAGCTTGTTGTAGTCAGTTAATGTTATGTTGCAATAACATTTCCCTTCTCCAAATCTCTCTGTCTCATCTATGAACATGCTGTGTGGTTGTGCACAGCTCAGACAAGAGAGTTAGTTGCCCTAACAGCTGCCGAGGTGGGACTGACACTGACCCACATGCTCACATAGCTGACATTCAGGAGATAATCAACTTAAATATCCAGAAGTCCACACGGTACAGTGCTCTGAGAGTCAATATGACTGAACGCAAAGCTGCAAAACAGACATGCATTCAACGCATTCAACGTAGTCAATCCAGTCTTCACAACTCCTATAGCAGCCAAGATACATTTTTTGAAAGGCAGGAATTAAATCATCTCTTTAAAAGTGGCTCAGCTCAGAATTTATTCATGAATGGTTCCTCTGGATTAAAGTATGCAAAAGTTGACTATCATAATAAAATTTTTGTTTGTTTCAGCCACTTGAAGTGAAAGTGATGTGACATGTGGCCAAGTATGGTGACCCATACTTGGAATTAGTGCTCTGCATTTAACCCATCCAAAGTGCACACACACAGCAGTGAACACACACACACCGTGAACACACACCCGGAGCAGTGGGCAGCCATTTATGCTGCGGCGCCCGGGGAGCAGTTGGGGGTTCGGTGCCTTGCTCAAGGGCACCTCAGTCGTGGTATTGAAGGGGCTGTACATTCACTCCCCCCACCTACAATCCCTGCTAGTACGAGACTCGAACCCACAACCTTTGGGTTATGAGTCCGACTCTCTAACCATTAGGGCACGACTTCCCCTAAAAAGAGTTGAGAAACCCATTTATTTTGTCCCTTTTTTTTATAATTTTTTTTTGTGCTATTCGACATGCATATCTGAGTAAACAAAGAATTCTCCTGACCACAAACGTAATTTTCCGAACCAGACAACAGAAGCACATGCACATTCAGGTGTTTTCTGTGTTATTCTGTCACTTCCCAAGAAGCAGCAGCACATTCATTTTAGTTTTAATAATTCTGCTATAATATTGTGTAACGCCACACTGTTGCCTCAGTCTGCATGATCAGTAATTATAACAAACATCTAACATGATAAAGCACCAATTATAGAACACTATAAATGTTGATGAGTGACTTTGTTGATGATGTTTCCAGTTGTTGACTCATTTGCATGAACAAAAGTTGCAAAAGAATTGCATAGCATATTTTTCACATGAAGATGAATTACAAATACTGATATGAAATGTGTAACAATTGTAGTTCTTGAAACTGATCAGTTGAATTTCTCCATTCTCTAATATTTTGACTGAAATTTTACAAAAGTTATATCTTTAAAATATAATTTGTTAGTCAAATAATTTCTTGAAACATCCATGAAAAAAACTTAATATGCATACATTTTTAAACCAAATTAACTGTTGAATTTGTAGGCATTTATTATGGTATGTCCAACTCAAACAATCACTTAATTGATATTCAGAAATTTTATTCAAATAATATAATTATTTATTATTGTTATATTTGCAAAGCTACTTAATGATATATGGCAGCTTTAGTGGAACATAATATATACAGAGGCTATATAGGACACAGTAAAAAAAAACACACAGAAACCTATGGAAAAATTCACATAATTTGCCCACAGGTCAGTTGCACTCAAAATGTCCAAGTTGTCAAAGCTCTTCAAAAAGGTTGTCTACTTGTATGCCAGTTGTTGTAAATTTATAGGCACTTAAAATATTCACTGACAGAAAAAAAGTGATTAGAGCATTCAGCCACTCAATTAATCAAATAATCACAAACTGTATGCTGGAATCAGTTGTCAAAAAAACTCCTATCTGCAAACCAAAGCATACATGCACCTACAAACTCAAGCACGTGGGTCCACCATCCAACCCCGCCATTTTAATGAGGTATGAATGAGGTTACACCACTTCCTGTGTCAGTTAGCTTGCTGTCATTCCACTTATACTTTCTTTCTAACTTGAGACTTGTAAGGGAGGCAGTGTCCAAGCAAAAGGATTCACTGGTCAAACACAATTCGAAGAGTCAATGGCACAAACACAACAACAAAACCGCTAGTGATGATAGCAGCCTCAGCGAACAAGGTTATGTGAATTATGATCGATGGAGGTTTAGAGGTGGCTTGGCCAATATGAATTACTTAACCAGAGCTATGCTTTATTCATCTTTTACCCACTGACTCCAAACTCACATATGACATTGCCAAGAATATTATTATGTGGAAACCATTATCAACTCTTAACCTTGACAATACACATATTTTAAACCCTAATTAATTTGCCCAAAAAAATATGCATTAAACAGGTTAAACGAACAATAACTAATTTAACCCAAACATGTTTGTTAAATTAAAAACGATATAATGTATAAATATATTATGCATACAGTGGAGTCGAAAATTCTGAGAGCACAAAATCTGAGATACAAAATGCAACCTGAATCTGGAAGTAAAAGTTTGAGGATTTAGAAATGCTATGATGTAATATTTAAGAAGGCATATTTAACTATTTAAGCTAACAAACAAAGTTTTACACAAAAGTGTGGAGTTAATGCAGCTTTAGTGCTGTTGGCGTTAAAGCAAAGGGATAAACCAATACAAAACATTGAAATGTTAATGTATGTTAATTAAATTATGTTTTTTTCAAAATCTGTACTCAATATCATTTGTAATGAAAAATTATTCAATAGAAAAAAATCAAAACAAGCTTTTCACTATAATTTTGGAACCCACTGTATAATAAAAAATGACATCTATAAAGATTGATGCTTTGCCATCTTGAATCATCTCGTTGCATCTCATGGACTGAAATGTAGTTTCTGTTGAGCAGTAAAGGAAGCAGTAAAGGAAGTAAACTTGCAAAGTTTAAAAAAAAAAAAAAATCGCAACAACAAAGAGTTTGAAGCGCAAGCACAGTAAATGATTTCATACCTCCATCTTTCACGGCTCAACTTCTTGTAGCTGTTTTGGTGTGACACTTGCTGAAGGAACGCGCTCTCTCTCCTCACACGAGCGCAGAGCGAATGCACTCACAAGTCAAGAGGGTGGTCGTTAGTTATATTTAGGTCTGACTCTTACAACATTTCCATGGTCAAAAGATTGTGCCATACTCTGCTAAAAAGCTGTTGCAGTGAAATGACCTGTAGTTTCTCACGTATTTCCCAAGATTACAGAAACTACTCATAAAAACTCTGTGCTGAAAATACCGTTATTAAGGTGCAATAGGTCATTTTTTACAGAAATATTTCACACAAAGAACAGCACTTTTGATAAATATAATTAAAAGTGTGTTAATGTCATGAAGACTACACATCTATTTTCTAGAAACAGCTATTTTATTCTGCATTGGGCAGGTCGCCCCCTCATGGGCGCAGCCATATTTACATCACATGACAAGCCATCCAAATGACAAGCATGGCAAACTAGTACCACCACCAATGATACATTCATTTTTTTCAAAGCTCAAGACAGTTTATAAAGTGTAAAAGTACATCTAAAAAAAACACACACACACACACACGTAACAACAAACAAGCAATACAGCCTACCACAGTGGTTCTCAATCGGGGGGCCTCAAGATAAATTAAAATGACAAAACATAAAACAAAGATGCGTTAACAGCATAGTGCAGCGTGTGGATTTGCAAGTGTGTTATAAAAGGAACGGCTTCATTGCAGCGCCAGAGGTTAGCAAACACATTTCTTACATACAGAACCAACAGATCAGTATAAAATGCAAAACCACTGGTACTGCTGGGATGAATAGGTTAAATGAAAACAAAAACCTGAATATACCTGTAGTTACAGTTGGATTGTTTAAATTTGGTCTGTTAACATCTACATTGTCAATTTATTAGATTCTCATATCAATGATTAATTTAAATGAAAAAATGTTCACAAGACAAAAGCATTAGCCTCTGAGCTTTTAAAATATGTTGTTATTGCTTGGTGGCTAAGAGTTCACTTGATGAAAAACACTTTTGCCAAAATTGCTCTAAAGTGCTAAAAATGCAATTTAAGTCCGTAGCTCACAAGACTTTGAGGCACCACATGTGTGTTGATGCAGAGGACCTTTCTAATGTGCTTCAATCAGGTTGCACAGTATGCACCATAAAGGGAGGAGCTTTAGTAAGGAACAATAGTTTAGTGATAATGCTTCCATTTATGGATGAAATGAAAGAGGAAGCAGTATCATGCTTCAATGTTTATGTATAAACAAAACATAATTGCTGTGGAAACAGTTCCCTTGAGATTTTTTCTTTTTAAGCATCTCATCTTAAAAAAGTACTGGAATATGCATGGGATGCATGCTGACCAGTGACCATGACATTTACCATATTGTAACTATAAACAACCCCCCCAAAAGTTTGAAAGTCAGTTTCACTCCAAGCATGAACAGTGGAAGGATGTGCAGATGTGATGAAGATAAAGTGATATACACCACAAAAAACTGAGCTTCCTGGTATGAATCTGATGACAAATAAACAGTGTGGATATCTACCACATAACGTGTCAGTATGGCAACTTAAAAAGAGGAATGTGCGCAGTTTTAATGTGGCGACCAGGAGAGCTGTGAAAAGCAGGTGAATGCATGAAGCCACATGCTTTGCTTGTATTACTTTTGCTTCATGATTGAGATTGGGACTCTGCAGACACATGCCATAGATGCACAGAGATAAATGAGACCTTCAGTAAAAGACAATTTTAATTGAAAATATACATTGAAAACATAATACATGCTATAGTACACACATATGGGTGAAACAGCACTGGCTAAATATTAGCATAATTAACATTCAACACCATAATACTGAGGTGGTGTTTGCACTAACGGTTATTTGTATAACATGTAAAAATGTAAAATAAAACCTTGCAGTCATTCAGCTTCAGAGAGCAGGTGACTCAGAGAAAGTAATCACTGGCTAAGCTGCAAAGCTGAGCAAAGGTAAATTTATGCAAATGAGCAGCGTTGCAATATGGCAAATACCAATGGAAGCGCAAACAGTGATCCGCCACCTGATATCATTGGATATTGGAATTGAGGAAGAGCACAGCGATTTACATGTCGGGTTCATTACAAGCTCAATCAACAGCATTCAATATTTCTGACATTAGAACTCACCATTATAATAGAAGTAAGTGGGGCTAATTTCTGGAGGCTTTGTGATCATTTTAATTTTATAAAAGCACTTATTGGCCTGGTTTCACTAAGCCAGGATTGGGCCTTAGTTAAAGCTGCAGTCCGTAAATTTGGCCCCTTTGTCGCCATCTCTGTTTGAAAACCTGGGATTGCAGTTACTTGCGGAATTCTCCAAGTAGGTATAACTGCAGACCTGATCTCTCCAAAAGTGGGCAGAACCTCCAAAATGGGGCGGGGTCTCCACGCGTAAAGACTTTTACCATTGGCTCTGGCTCCAGCCAATTGTTATTGACTTACATTTCAAAATAAAATTTTATAAATTAAACATGGTTTCTAGTTCATTTAAAATAAAATATGCTATATAAATAAATATTCTCCGTGAGAGCAGAGCCCAAAGCTCGTGGCCAGTGGTGTTTGGACTGGAGTTTGAACCTCTGCTTCATGATATTAACGGGAATCACCCACGAGCTCTCCCGCTAGCCGTCCCAGCGCAGTGCAGGGGAACGATTTTACTCTATCGCTTTGTTCTAAGCAACGGGGGCGTCCCGGGGCTCGAAATTTGCAGGGTAGGACAGTGTAGTGACGCTGGGTGTAACCAAAAAGGTGCCATTGTCCGGTGAGGCCCGGTTGGGGAGTTACGAAACGATCTCCTATCGCGTAATCTTATTAACTGTTTATCTCCTGAACTGCAACTTTCTTTACCA